ACAGTGAGAAATTATACCAGAAGACAGAAATATTGACGAATGAAACTTAAATATTAGAAATGAAGAATTCAATATTTCAAATTAAAACACAGCATAGAAAGCCTTAACAACAGACTTTGTGAGCCAGAAGAAAGAATATTCCATCTAAAAAACAAATATTTGGAAAGAACCCAAACACACAAAAAAGAAAATTTTAAAAAACTGAAATTAGTGTTTGAGACTTATGGGATCCTATCAAACAATCAAATGGCTTAGGAGCACCTGAAGATACAGAAAGCCAGAAAGGCTTATAAGTCTTATTCAGTGAAATAACAACAGAAAATTCTCGAATTTGGAGAAAGACTTAGACATACAATTACAGGAAACACACAGAATTCCTAATAAACATGATCAGGAGAGATCTCCACCACGACACATTTCACTCAAATGTCAAAAGTAAAACAAAGATCCTATAATGTGCATGAATATCAGATTACCTTTTGAATATCTCCAATTAAGACCAACAGCTGATGTCTCATCAGAAACCCTACATGTTAGGAGAGAATGAAGACGCATAATCAAAGTCCTAAAAGAAAAATGCTGTCCTGTCGGGCACCATGGCCTAGCGGCTAAAGTCCTCACCTTGAAACCACTGGGATCCCATATGGATGTCAGTTCTAATCCCAGGGCTCCACTTCCCACCAAGCTCCCTGCTTGTGGCCTGGGAAAGCAGTCAAGGACAGCCCAAAGCCTTGGGACTCTTGGCATCCGTGTGGGAGACCTGGAAGAGGTTCCTGGATCCTGGCTCAGGATTGGCACAGCACCAGCCGTGGCACTCACTTGGGGAGCGAATCATCGGAAGGGAGATCTTCCTCTCCGTATATCTGACTTTGTGATAAAAATAAATAAATCTTAAAAAAAAAAAAAAAAACAAAAACACTGTCAATCCAGAATACTGCACCCAGTAAAGCTCTCATTTATAAATGAAGGTAAAGGGCCCAACACAGTGGCTCAATTTGCTAATCCTTCCCCTGCAAGTATCAGGATCCTATATAGGCACTGGTTCATGTCCTGGCTGCTCCACTTCCCATCCAGCTCCCTGCTGATAGCATGGAAAAGCAGTGGAGGACGGCCAAAGCCTTGGAACACTATACCTGTATGGGAGACCTCCTGGCTCAGGCCTTCAGACTGACTCAGCTCCAGCCACTGTGGCCATCTGGAGAGTGAACTAACCTTGGGACTCTGAACTCACATGGGAGACCTGTAAGAAGCTCTCGGTTCCTGGTTTCAGATCGGATTGGCTCAGCTCTGGACATTGCAGCCATTTAGGGAGTGAACAACTGGATGGAAGATCTTCCTGTCTCTCCTTTCTGTAAATATGCCTTTTCAATAAAAAATAATTTAAAAAATAAATGAAAGTGAAATAAAAACCCTTCAAGAAATTTTCACCACTTGTTCAGTTCTACAAATGATTTGTAAATATGTGCCACACAGAGAAACAGAATGATAGTCATCATTATGAACAAATATAAAGGCATAAAATCTAGTGATAGCACAAAGGAAACGCAAACAATAGGAATGTTTATGGGGAAATGCTATGATGGAGTCAGCATTTATTAACAATTACCATAAAGGCAATGGACCTAAATTCTCCAATTAGAATATACACACTGATAGAACAGACTAAGCAGCAAGATCCATCTATTTTCTGCCTATAAGAAATCTGCATCATTAACAATGATGCACATAGGTTGAAAATAAAAGGATAGGAAAAATATCCCATGATAGCAGGAAAAATTAGCAGGTATATCCATTCTAATGATCAGACAAAACAGTCTTTAACACAAAAAGCTGTTAAGGAGCTGGCGTGATAGTGTAGTGGTTAAAGTCCTCGCCTTGAACATCCAGGATCCCACATGGGCACCGGTTCTAATCCCAGATTGGTTCAGCTCCAGCAGTTGCAGCTGGAAGATCTTCCTTCCTCTCTGTCTCTCTTCCTCTTTGTATATCTTCCTTTCCAATTAAAAAAATAAATAAATCATAGACCACTCAGCCACACTAAAAGAGTAAAAAGTAAATCTTTTTTTAAAAAAAGCTGTTAAGAGGTAAAGGAAGGTACTACGTAATGATTAAAGGATCAATTCAAAAGGAAGATGTGACTACAGCAAAGGTACATGTACCCAATGCCAAGGCAACTGGCTATTTAGAACAAGTGTTAATGGATTTAAAGGGAGACACAAACTTCAACACAACAGTAATGGAGACTTTGATCAATGGACATATTTACTAGACAATCAACAAAGAAACAATGGAACTAATCTTCTCTATGGACCAAATGGATCTGATATCTACAGAACATTTCATTCCACAGTTGTAGAAAACATTCTTTTTGGTACTGCATGGAACTTTCTCCAGAATAAACACAACACATGCTAGGTCAGAAAGTAAGTGTCAGCATCTTTTCTGACCATGATGAAATGAAGTTGGAAATTAACAACTTACGAAACTAGAAAATATGTGACCCTATGCAGACTGATTATTATGCTCCTAAATGAACAATGGGACATACAAGAAATCAAAAGGGTATAGCAAAAAAAAAAAGTCCTAGAAATGAATAAAGATGACACACAACATACCAAAATACATGATATTAGGCAAAAGCAGTGTTAAGGGGAAAGTTTACTACAATTTGTGTCTACATTAAGGAATTAGAAAGCCACCATATAAGTGATCTATTAACACATCTCAAAGATCTAGAAAACAAGAAACCAAATCACAAATTAGGAAGAAACAAAAAAAATCAGAAAATAAATGAAATCAGACTTTAAAAATTATACAAAGGATGAATGAAATGAACAGCTTTTTTTTTATTGAGAAAAAAAATTGGTAATCATTGGCCAAAGTAACAAAAAAGGCCCAAATTAATGAAATCAGAAACAGGAACTGTTACAGTGAATACAACAGAAATAAAAAAAATCATCAGTAATTACTACAAACAGATTGGGAAATCAACAAGAACTGGACAGATATCTTAACAAAACTGAGGCACAAAGACAAATAAAAAACCTCAACAGAGCAATCACCAAGACAGAGCCTGATTCAGTACCAAAAACCCTCCCAAGAAAAGTAAAGGACTGAAAAAAAAAAAAAAAAACTGTACAGCTTCACTGATTAATTTTACCAAACTTCTAAGGAAGAACTAATCCCAATTTGCCTTAAATTATTTGAAACAACTGAAAAGGATGAATTCTATCTAATTCCTTCTATGAGGTTAGCATTTATCAATCCCAAAACTACAAAGAGATAACAACAAAAAAGAGGTCTGAAGACCAATCTTCCTGATGAAAACAGATGCAAAAATACTGAACAAAATAATACCCAAATGAATCCAACAACACACCAAAAAGATCCCCCTAATGCAGAGAGCAGAAGAGGGGAGGAGGAAGAGAGGGAAAGGACCTATGAAACTGTAAAATGGAAACTAATAATGAATAATAATAATAAAAACCCTTTTCCTGGACCAATTATTCCCACATTTACTGTAGTTCAACTTGCAAAAGCTAAGATTCAGAGTAAACCAGATGAGCATACATTGATAAAAGAATAAAGAAACTATAGGAATAGCATTAACCTTCAAAAGAATGAAATCCTGTTTTTTCCAACAAAATGGAGGTTATTAGGAAACATTATATCTAGTGAAATAAGCTAGTTCAAAAAAAAAAGATAAACATCATGTTTTCTGATCTGTAATAACTAATATACAGAGCAACTAATATACAGAGCACTCATGAAACTGACATTTTGATATCTGATTATTGTTTCTATTACAGCCCCTGTCTATACCTTTGAGGAGTGGTGGTTTCCTAGTTAATATTTGTTGAATTCTTCAGTGTTGGATTTTGATGTAATTATAATGTAAACAGTATGCTATTGAAAAAAATCATTGAAAAGAATAAGAAAGAACACAAAAGGTAGCGTCTTAGCGAGAGAAGGGGAGGGTTGATTGAGAAACATCATCACGTTTTGAAAAAAATATATATAATATACCTGAAAACATTTCCCTTTATACATGCATTAAAAACAGACAAATAATACCTACTTTGGAAGATAGGGTACCAAGCATTCTTCCATAACCTTACTGTGGAGAACTTACACTGATACATTTTTGTGAAAATTTAAATACTCTTTGAGTAAGGAATTAATTCCTCATATACTCTGAGAATTTAGTACAAGGCACTCATGCTACAGTATGTGCAACAGTAATACACTTGGAAGTAAGTTAAAATTCTCACGCAGAAGATAACTGTCTAACTTGAGTTATGGTGTAGGGGGCACAATAGGGTAAGCCAGCATTTATAACACCAACATGCCAGACATTGTGGCCTTTTGGGAGTGAAACAGTGGATGGAAGCTCTCTTTTGTCCCTTCCCCTATTGCTGTCGCTCTGCCTTTCAAATAAATAAAAGATTTTTTTTTTTTAATTATAGGGTACAGGGCTGGCGCTGTAGTATAGAGAGCTAGGATTCCACCTGTGGAGCTGGCATCCCTTAAGGGTGCCAGTTTGTGTCCCAACTGCTCCACTTCTGATCCAGCTCCCTGCTAATGACCTGAGAAAAAGCAGAGGATGGGCCATTCTACAAGACTTTCCAACAGCATTAGCAGGAAGCTGGATGGAAAGTGGGATGGCTAAGATTTGAACGAAGCTCAGATAAGATGCCGTGGCCACAGGCAGAAGACAAGCCTGTGACATCACTGTACTGGCCTGTAATTCTTAGATTTTTTCCAAGCTACACATGACACAGAATTACTTTTTAAAGTAACAAAACTGAATCTTAGCAAAGAAACAGTTTTCTGAAACTCATACAGTTAGGAATAGCAGGAAGAAAAAGTTCAGGGTAAACAGCAGAGGAGAACTAGAAAAAGAAGGGGCAGAAAATAACATTAGACAGGCGGGTAGTGTCTGTTAGTACAAATGCGTGAAGGATGGCTTTAGAGAGTCAATCCCAACAGTAATACTATACCCAGCAGCTGGCTGTGCTCCCCTGTGATGGAGTTCTGACTCGGGTCTGAAAAACAAACAATTGAAAAAAAAAGAAAAAATGAATGACTAAAACAAACAATTTTTTAAAAATTACCAACAAAGGCCAAAGAAGGAATAATTAAAAATATTAACAAAACTTAAGAAACATTAATGAAAGAATAATAAAGAAAATCACTCTCATCAAAAAATGAAACAATTACTACACGACCCATTAATTCAACTCCTGGTTATATACCCAAAAGAAATGAAAACAAGGACTCAGACTTTTGTTTACAGCAGCATTACAACAGTCAAAGGTGGAAACAGCACAAATGTCCTCCAACAGACGAACAAATAAACAGAAAATGGTGTATGCATATAATGGCATATTCACTACAAAGGAGTCTCACAGAAGCCACACTACGGATAAGTGGCACGAACTCAGGCTAAGGGAAACAAGCCAGATAAAAAGATGTATCTTGCACGATCCCATTCATATGAAATCTCAAGAAAGGGCAACTTCATGGAGACCAAGTAATTACAGGTTCCCGGAGGCCACATGGAGCAGCATCTGAGACCACTGCTTTAGAAGTATATAGAGCTGGGTGGGTCTCAGGACGGGGCGTCTCATGCCTGGATCCCAAATGCCAGCCACCATGTGCACGTGGTGAGCTGTCCCCAAGCGGCCAGTGAGCTATTTGGTGCCAGGCTACACCTGTTGGCCACCTGGCCGGGGAGCTCTGGAGTTTTGGGTCTTTGAATTGCTGCTTAGGTAACTCCAGGTTGAAACCACTGTGCTTCTGGGACGTGAATCAATCTTAAAGTTTCCCAATGACAGTAACTATTTCCTTTGAAAGAACTTGAAATCACTGAACAATGCTGATCACCAAACACCAGTCCACAGAAAAGCTATGGCTCGGGGCTTGTCCAGCAGAGTCATATCCTGTTACCTGACATGATGATGGATCAGGAGAAGGGTCACATTATGCAGGGCCATTACATTAACTAGCACTCGAGAGTTATATCCGGGGTAGATTCTGTGGGGGATGTGTGGGCTAAACCCTGTGGAAATTCTAACCCCACTGGTTAGTTCAAGAGTTGGGGTGGTGATGGACTAAGCTAGGTGTGACCAAGGAGCTTGCCATCAACTACAGGTAAAGGAACCCCCAATAGTCTAGACTGGTCAGGGCAGCAGCACTCAATTGTGCATCCTGATTGGGGTGTGGGGTGGGCCAGGCTGCTGTAGGCCCCGGTCTCCCAAGGGTCAACTCCACAGCTTAGCTTGGTTCTCAAGGTGTAACAGGAAGGGAAATCATGGCCTGATACATTTAGCCCCTGGCTTGACTGCAATTTCCCTCCTTCCTGCTTCCCCTTTTTGCACATCCTCGGGGGAGCTTAGGTGTTACTTAAGCATTGGGAAAATCCTGGGAGGGGCCAAACAGACTATATAAGAGCAGTTTGACTTTGAATAAAGGGCTTCACTTCACAAGAATAAGCCTCGGAGTGTTATGTGTGTTGTCTGTCTTGTCTGTCTCATAACCCTAGTCCCTCGGCTCGACTCGGGGTACGTGGTGACGCGGGCGTTGCCAACAGGCTGCAATGTTCACCAGCTCATACAAGGCCAAAGGAGGGCCAGACTTTGCCGGAACCTGGCCTAAAACCCACTGGCATGTATGAGAACTGGGTCTGGGAATGGATTGAGTGAAGGAACTTGGGAAACTCCCTTGGTGAGTCATAGCTCCCGCTGGTGAACATGTGGTCCAGACCTGGGGGACGGACAAGCTGGGCATAGTAGCTGCAACAGCTGGCTAATGTGCCAATTGGGATGTACTGGGCAAGACTGAGCAAACCTTAGCCCACAAGTGAAACTAGCGACCAGGATGGAGCACAGGTCATGCCGAGCTAGGCTCTTGCACCTACTGGTCTGTGTGAGTCAGGAATGCGGAGCCACAATGTCTAAGGAAGAAGTCAGGACAGGTGAAGGGCTGAGCCAAGTTGAGTCAGAGCCACTGGCATGCACGTGATCTATGGCTGGGAACAGACCCAGTTGGGGAGCTAAAGGGACAACCAAAGGGTGCATGGGCTGGACTGGGGGCTGCATTCTAATCAGGATACGGTTGTAGTCTCCCTTGGCACAAGTGTGGACTGGGATTGGATGCACCGAGCTGGGCCAGACTCCAACACCCTCTGGTGTCCTGGAGGACCAGGGTAGATGTGGGATGGACTAGGTTAGGTCTCAACTCCTACTGAGCCATGCGTTAGCCATATGTGGATATGGACGAGCCATGGCTGGGCTGAAACATACAACAGCAAGGACCAGTTTGGATTGAAGGCCAGTCAGGAAAAGCGGAAAAGCCACTGTTCCTGCTGGGACAGGAGGAAAACTGAGTAGAGCTGGCTCATGGATCCCCTGGTATGGGCAAAATCTGGCATTGGGAGAGGTTCTGATGGAGGAGCCTGGCCAACTCCTCTGGCAGGACACAGACCTGGCAGGTAAGCGCAAGAAACATGATAGGAAACAGCCCAGAACAGGCCATGGAAAGTTACCCACTGGCATATATCTGGCATGGGTCGGGGGCAGACCAGGCTGAATCAGTTTACGTCATCCACTGACAAATCCAAGCACCAGAACAGTGTGGGTTGAGCCAGGTTCAGTCGCGACAAAAACTAGTGCACAATACGGAATGCCAAGGTGAGGTTGCCTGTACTGGATGTGACCACGGCGCCCAACCAGCACACGTGAGAACTAGGAAGGGAGGGGGCAAAGATGGCACGGGGAATTGGGGGGTTCCCTTGCTGGACAGCTACTCCCGCAGGAGAGGGTGAGCTAGGATGGGGACAGACCAGACTAAGCAGGGCTACACCTGTGCGCCTCATGTGGCCTAGATCAGGCAAAAGCCAGGCTGGGCTGATTATTCCTACTGGTGCAAACAAAATTAGAGTGGGCGAGGGTTGTTTGGGCTTAGCCACAGCATCAGCTGGCAGAAGCTGGTACTGGAGTCTAATTCTGTCAAGTCAAACCACAGAACTAGCTGGAGAGTGCATAATACAGGAATGAGAAAGGCTGGGGAGGGAAACAGTGGGCTCCTTCCTCTTGGGTTACCACTCCCATGGGAGGGCATGAAAACTAGGACAGGAGCTGGGGTGGCTAGACAGACACCCAACAGCATCTGTGAGGGCTGCATAGTGGAGCTGGTTAGATGGAACTAAGCTTCAATATCCATTGACATGTACGAGAGCTGAATGGGGTGTGGGACAGACTGGACTACTGCTACACATACTGGCAAACCAGCGCAGGGGGCGGGCCTGGTAAGGGTTATTGTGGGTCGCTACAGCTCCCACTGGTTTATGCGAGGGCCGAGAATGTGCTGGACAGAACCAGGCTGGACTGCAACACCCATTGGTTTCAGTGGAAGTTGGGACTGAAAACAGAACCAACCCAGCAATAACAACCACCAGCTGATCAGGGCGATGGACTGTGCTGGGCCCTGTACTTGTTAGTACATACAAGAATCTGGTCTGAGAACACCTCAGACAAAGTTTCTTTGGAGATCTCCCCAATCAAAATGCTGGACTCAGAACCCTAACCAAGAAAAGAGAGAAGACAGAACAGGTCAATCAACCATCTCAGCTATATGTTGGCAGCCAAATACTGGGCAAACTGAGTCTCTATGATGGACTATGTCAATTAGTGGATTCTTCAAAAACCTCATCGTGCTTCAAGCAGCGAGATTGGCAGTGATTCATAACTGGTGAACCATCAAAACCACTTGAGGAAGAACCTCGGAGCATACCCTACATCCAGGACCTGGGGAAGGTGGGTGGGAAACTGGGTGGTCCCTCTCCCTTAATACTCCAATACCCCTCTTTAAACATGAAGGAAACAATATGGAAATAATAGTCTTACCCACTTTCCTATAGCCCTTGAACCTTTTTACCCCAATTAACAATGTAAAGATTGTCAAACATATAATAAAAAAGAAAAAAAAAGTAGTATGTAGAGCTGTATTCTGGGTTCATGAGACATTTCGAAAACAGCGGTAATAGCAGCACGATACTTGTCAACGCAATTAACACCACAAAGTTATGAATGCACTACTAATAATTAAAATGGTAAATTTTATCATCTGTATCACACACACACACACACACACACACACACACAAATAAAATCAATCATGGGCCCAGCATGGTAGCTTAGCAGCTAAAGTCCTCGCCTTACACACACCAGGATCCCATATGCGCTGGTTCTAATCCTGGCATCCCCACTTCCCATCCAGCTCCCCGCTTGTAGACTATGGAAGCAGTCAAGGACAGCCCAAAGCCTTGGGAGCCTGCACTGGCATGGGGTCCCAGAGACCTGGAAGTTCATGGCTTTTGGCTTCTGACCGGCTCTGCACCAGCCATTGCAGCCATTGAGGAGTGAGTCAGTGGATAGAAGATCTTCCTGCCTCTCCCCCTCTCTGTATATCTGACTTTCCAATAAAAACTTAAAAAAAAAAAAACCTAAATAAAATTAATCAAGAACCAGTCTGACGAAGCAATATTTCTACAAAATAAAGAATATATATGACATAAATTACATTTTTATTCTTCAACGACAAAGGAATATATGGCAATAGAAGCTCAAAGTCAACACCTAAGTAAAGCATTAATTACTACTGGCAGATACATTCTGATTTGATTTGCAAGTAAAATGACCGAACTGGATTTTGTACCTAATCAATAATCCAAAAAATAAAATCAGTGACAATAAAGTTGCTAATGGAACGCATTTGACAGTTACTGTTTAACACTTAACCAACTGCTGCCTATTTTGAAGGCTTGAAAAATATTATGATGCTAAATACGGAAAAGAACTGAGCTTCACTCTCCTGGAGGATTAAACAAGCTGAAAAGCACAGGATAGTATCTGCCTTCCTTCCACATGTTTAAAGTTTTAGATTGGGGACCTATGAACAACAGGGATAAAATTACATTTTATTTTTACTAACTTCCCCCCCCCCAAAAAAAATACTTCATTTCTCTGAAAGGCAACTTTACAGA